GTTATGTTGATGACATCTTTAAAGTCAAAATCACCACAAAGTGTTGGATTGTTTCAAAAATACACATAAAAGACATTAATTTTTATAAGTTAAGTTCATCTTTTAATGTAGATCCACTTTGGGTACCAAAACTGGTCATTACTGTTGCAAAACACATGGAGAGCTCAGGGAATGAAACCTTAAACCTGAGTTTATAACCTATGGATAACTGCAATACACTAAGAAAACCTTTAAGAATCATGTTTCAAACGAAACTATAAAGTAAAATATATAAGTAAGATAAATCAGACGTATAAATATCACAGTGGATGCCAAGTGTTATGGATGATTTATCCAACCTGTTCTATCACCAACAGGGGTGACAAGTCCTGTCATTTGTTGACTGACCTCTGATTTGTCATACTTCTCTTTCTCTAAACCAAATATTTGCTCAGAATGGACCCAAAGTTAAGTGGTTAGGTAGAGACATGGAAATGCACAATAAACGTTTTAATTTGTTTGTTTTCCCATACGGTATGTAAGAGGATCTCTCCCTGCCCAAACAAAAATATACAAACTGAAGATCATAGCTGTTGTTCTTTAAAACCGTACAAACAAATAGACGAATGAAAACAAATGAATTAAACAGAGCTTCCTGACTTACATCTTTGTTTATGTAAGTATGACGAATGGAGGAAACGTGACTTCTGTGGATTGTGAATGAAACAGACTATGTTGTTATGATTCACGTACGGTAGAAGTATATATATATATATATATTCACGTACGGTAGAAGTATATATATATATATTCTTAAATTTTATTATTTATCTCTTAGGATAAAATACTCCGAACTAATTTACGTGTATCGTATATTCTATATAGTTCTGATTGTTAACCCTACCAATACGTGTTTCTTATGTGTTGCTAAGTTTGTCGGTGAATGTAATAACTAATAGAAGACCTACATATACCCATTATCTATTTCCGACAAAAACGTACATAAGAAAAAAAAATGGTGTCTTCTTTTCCAGGAGAGGAATTCGAGACTCAGGCAGCCATGGCAACCGAGTGCAAATCGAAGCTTGTAACCTCGTTGGTGCTATGAATTCGATGTTATTGAAAACGGAGGGCGAGAATGTATGTAGATTAACACTTATTTTATATATATGGTTAGATATAAGGCCTCTTGGTTCTGTCACAATAGGGTTTCACTTTTCTAAAACAAGTGTCTAGAATTGTTTTTAACAATCGACATAAAGAGATGGAATCCGCTTTGCTGTCTACCTACTACTTTTCAGCGTCCTGCCCCGCGGTAAATTTTATATCATATCCAAAGTTCTTCCCATAAATCCTAACCTATAAACTAATTATTACGAAATAAGGATAACATATAAAATATGGAAAACTTAAAATATCAGAATATTATTCAAGGCTGGAAAAAGAAATTGCAGCGAACGTTACGTGTGCTTTCAACACAAATGATCTTACTGGAGCGCCGTCTCATGGTTAAGAAAGAAATACTAATTAAAATTTCCAATAAACTATTTTTCTGTAAACATGTTGTTATTTATTTATAAAACAGTTAAAAGTGGTCAATAAGAAACAAATAACAACAAAACTATGACTAATTAAATTTTCAGAATCGTTTTTCTCTATTGATTTGTCCAGCTAAAATTTCATCACGTTTGTGAAAATAAATATATGTGTATGTATATATAATGAAGAACAATAAATCTGAATTCATTTGGTTCTTCTATACTTGTGCAACTACATACAAAGATTTTTTGTACATAAATTCAAGAAGTTTACGTTATGTTTAAGTTGGGCTTGATATTTTATCGTGGATAAACTAATATAATATTTAGTAAAACATCAAAATGAGTACCAAGCGGAATATTAGCTTTAGACCAAGTAACTCCTGACTTGTAAAATCTATACATCACTTTCTAAACAAGCTGAAGTACAAAACACACACACGCTAAACTTTAACAGTTTTTATTGATTTTAATGGTTTTGAATAGCAAGATATTTCCGTAAATATTTGGTGCCAAACCTAAGTCAGTTTTAACTATACATTTCTCCATCGTCTTTGTCCTGGATTTACTCATCCTGTTCGCCACTTTTTTACGCTTATCTTAAAACATATGCTTATTGGTTGATAGTTCTTCATAAGAACTGAGATTTTTCACTGTTGTACTCTCATGATGTTATCTAATCTGCAGAGATCCTACGACGATCTCCACTTCACTTCAACTTGTCACTATTGTACTCTCATGATGTTGTCTAACCTGCAGCGATCCTAAGTTGATCTCCACTTCACTTCAACTTGTCACTGTTGTACTCTAATCCGCAGCGATCCTAAGATGATCTCCACTGCACTTCAACTTGTCACTGTTGCACTCTAATCCGCAGCGATCCTAATATGATCTCCACTTCACTTCAACTTGTCACTGTTGTACTCTAATCCACAGCGATCCTAAGATGATCTCCACTGCACTTCAACTTGTCACTGTTGCACTCTAATCCGCAGCGATCCTAATAT